GACAAAGAAGACAAATGGGATACTTTCTGGACTGGGGTCTGTATTCCTTCTTTGCACCAGAAATCTTACTCTAAATATTTGCTTTTGGACAAGTTTTTTTTCTGTGAAAAGTGGAAGTCCACTGACCAATAAGCTGTAGTCCAAGATGTGGCCCTTGCCTGCCTCTCAAGCTTCATCTCTCTCCTGTCTCTGCTCTACACTGTCCTGAACACACAGCACTCGCTCATGCCCCTGACTAGTTATATTTTGCTCTGCACCATGAAAGCTCACTGAACCTGTGTCCTTACCTTTTGGGTCACTAAATGCCACATCCTTTTTAAGATTCAGCATTACCACCTCCAAAAGGCTTTCCTTCTTTTCCCTCTTGTTGCTCCTTCTCCCCCTGACAATCTGCTATCTGTTGTATGCTAGTTGAGATGTGAGGGGCATTCTACCACGTAGTGTCAAGAACACTGGATTCTGATCCTCACTCTGATTCTAAACAATTCATTTTACTTATGCAACACAGTTCATTCATTCATTCATTCATTCATTGGTCTCACTTCACCCTATGGCATCTACCTTCTGGTAAGGGAAATAGTGAATGACATGAAATGCTATGGAGAACAATAAAATGAAAACAGAGGAATAAAGAGTGCTGGAGACTGAGATATTTCTATTTGTCATAAAAGGAAGGTCTTTCAGATGTCGAGGAGAACTTCTATTGAGTGTAAGAAGAGCAGATAATAGGTATTGAGGTGATTCATGGAGAGACAACAGTGAATTGGGCATGCATAGGTGGCAGCAATGAAGTTGGTGAGATACATAAATGGGGCAGTCCTGTTTTTAAAATAGAACAGAAAGATTTAATGATTGATTTGAGGTGAAGGTTTTGAGAAAAAGTCAAAGGTGACTTGTGGATTTTGGAACTAAGCAACTAGGGGATGGGGTTGACCTTAATAATTGGAAAAGACTGCAGGCAAGAGTCTTCTCTATGAAATTGGCTTTAGGATATGTAAAGTTCAAGATACCTATTAGATGTTAGAGATGTTAAGTGGCGACCTGGAGTTAAGAGATCCAGGTCAGAAGTGTATATGTGGGGACTGTTGCATGTAGATGAAGTATCATAAAACTCAATGTGGTCACTTAAGACATAGATATATGAGAGAGATAAAGTACCAGAATGAGGGTCTTGAACAAGCAAGGGAGGGGAGGAACACACATCAGGAGAGGTGGCTTCTGAGAAGGGAGGAAGGAAGTGGAAATAAGCATGGAAGTAGGCAAAAACGTTTCGTATTTTTATATTTTACATGTTTAAACCATGGTTTTGTGTGTGTGTGTGTGTGTGTGTGTGTGTGTGTGTGACTGAATTCAAACCTAGGGCCACCCTACCAATGACGTCCATATCCAGCCCTTTATTTACCAATTTATTTTTATTTTGAGATAGGGTCTTGCTAAGTTACCCAGGCTGACCTTGAACTTGCAATCCTCCTGCCTCTGCCTCCCAAGTAGCTGAGATTACGAGTATGTGCCACTGTGCCCAGATAAGCACTGGATCTTAAGTAGCTACCTGATTCCTCTCTTTGAATCAAAGAAGCTTTAATTATTTGCACATTTCCATTGGTTATTTTATCCCCCACCCCCGTCTTCCTCTCTCTGTACTGGGCTTTGAACACAGAACAATCACACTGAGCTACATTACCAAGGCTTTTGAGAAAGGGTCTTGCTAAGTCCTTCAGTTGCCCAGAATGGTCTTGAACCTGTGATCCACCAACTGTAGCCTCCCACAATATTGGAGTTATTGGTGCGTATCCCCATTCCTGGCTTCTGCTGTTTTCTTATTTGTATTGTTGTTTACCATCTACCTCTCTTATAACAATATACTTTCTGTCAGAGCAGAAGCTTGCCTTCTTACCTGATCTGTTTCCCAGTGCCTACAACAGTTCATGGCACACATGAAAAAGTCCATAATTATTTATAGAAGGAATGAGTACCTTTCCTTACCTTACTTCCACTGCCAGGAATGAGACCAAATGGTTGAGATGCTACATTCCAACCAAGAAATGCATAGGACTGCCTCTACTGCACTTTGCAACAAAAGAACCCTCCACTGCTGTCCTGTATGAAACATGCAACTTAATAGAAGATTATTGACACCAGCTTTAGATAAGGCCTTAGCATTGCTAAGGAGATTCCTCCCCACTTTCCCCTGGCAACCTACCAAAGCATAAAAAATACCACAGCTAAGGGTTTTGATTCAATCATGTAACAGTGCTTTTGACTTTTAGGCAACAATACCCACCTCAATCAATCCAAGCATATATTTTGACCTTTAAAATAATGATTTTAAAGGCTGAAATTTTTCTAACAATATTGCCAAGGGTCAAGACTGGTAGGAATCCTTTTCGAGTTAATATCTGTATACCTTAATTCATCTGCAGCCCAATTTCAAGTGCTAATTCTAGTTAAGGTAGGGATGTATTATAATTTCCATTCTCAGGTGGGGAAACTGAGTCTCTGAGAAGTTACAGGAGTTGCTCTAGATCTAATGACCCTGTTCTTTATTCATGAACACATTCAAGTGTTTCAAAGTGTGTCTGCTTTTCAGAAATGACCAAATGTCACTTGAATCTAAATAGAACAAATTAAGTAGATTCTCAAGGCTGGGAAATACAGTCTCTGATGAGTAAATTGCTGTACAATCTAGAACCAGTCTTAGAGATTATCCAGGCTGGAGCTAAAACTTTTGAAAATCACATAGGTCTTGAAGATCCTGTTCTTAGGTTGTTGATTGTTTTAGACTAGTCCATTTCATGCTAGACAAAGAAACCTCCCCCTCCCAGCCTCTGCCACACACACCTGGCACAGAGAGATGACAGGGATGGGAGACTAGCAACTCAAATCTGTACCTGTCTGCCAGGATGGCACAAAGGGATAAACTGGCTGTGTTAGCATGTTTCAGGGGAGCAGATTCTTCCATTTTGACATTAAAGAGAAACAAAGGCGGAAGGGGAGAATCTCTTTACTTTAGAAAATGCTATCAATCTGTTAGAAAACATACTAGACAATTACTTTAACAGAAGAGTGTAAAGACCTGAAGAAGCTAGTCATATCCCCTGGTGACTATTTTGTTGCAGAGAGTCAGCATCTGCACCATTCATAATTGTAGTGCAGAAATTGGCACAGGAATAAAGCCCAACTGCAAGCTGTTCCAGGTAGACCAGATGTCTTGAAGGGAGATTGTCTCTCTACAAGTAAATTCGGTGCCTATTTCCTGTCACTTTCACTGTTGAATAACTAGCTGTTTGGTATCAGGAATGATTTCTTTTTCTTTTCTTTTCTTTTCTTTTCTTTTCTTTTCTTTTCTTTTCTTTTCTTTTCTTTTCTTTTTCTTTCTTTTTTCTTTTTTTTTTTTGGTGCTAGAGCTTGAACTTAGGGTCCTCTACATGCTAAGTATATGCCCTACCACTGAGCTATGCCCTCAAACCCCTAATTCTTGATTAACAGGGTATTCTTTTTCAGAAGGAATCTCAATTGTTCTGTTCTACAAAAAAACCCACTATTTTTTCAAAACACATTTTCTAAAGGCACTGTTGTATTTCTTTTTTCCTAACCAAAAGCTGGTCTCAGGTGGCCTGATATTGACTCAGAGAGAAGAGAAGAGATTGGTAGACACTCTCTTTGGGCCAGGTAGAGAGGGTGAAAGGGGAAATAAATTGGAGAACATGAGAGGGGTTTCACAGTCATCATTAGCAATGCAAAGGAGGGCAAAGGATTCCTGGGAAGGGGAATGGCTGAGAGAGGTGTTCAGGACTCCTGGGGATGGTTGACCAGCATTACTTGGGCTGTGAATTTAATGACCGCACAATTCATTTGTTCAACAAATACTTACTAAGGTTCTGTTCTAGGCATTTGGGACCCATTAGTGAAAAAGTAAGAAGCAAAACAAAACAAAGTTCTCTGCCCATGTGGAGCTTTCATTCCATTGAAATATTCAGACAAGAAACAATAATGATAAAAAATGAACTCTATATTATGCCAGTGGGCAATAAATTCTCTTGAAATCAAAGAAAGAAAGAGAAAGAAAGAAAGAAAGAAAGAAAGAAAGAAAGAAAGAGAATGACAAAACCAGTTCACAAGGACTTGAAATCCTGGGTGTGAGGGTCCTGAAATTTTAAATAGGTCACACCAAGTGATATTTGTGCAAAGACTCCGTAGGTGAAGAAGCTGGCCATGCAAATATCTACTGGAAGAGCATTCTAGGTTGATAGAACAACCACTGCCAATAAGGTTGGGAGACGTATGCAGGGTTTAAAGAAAAGCAAGGCCAGTGTTGCTGGTGCCCAGTATGTGTGTGGTGGGTGAGGAGGGGAGTGGACAGGTAGAAAGGGTCAGAAGACCATGGCTAAGGCATGCAGGGTCTTGTTGGTCGTTGTAGAAGTGCTACTTTAGCTCAAAGAAGAATGGAACACTTTTGCAGAGTTTGGATCAGACAAGTAACCTCATCTGACCCATGTTTAAAAAAAAAAACATCTCTTTGTCTGCTACATTGAGAATAGATTTTAGGATAAAAAGAAAAAATTTTCTTTTTTCAACATGTTGCCTTACTTATGTGACAGGGTTGCTGTGAGACTCAAATGAAAAAGTGCTTTAAAAATTATGAAGCCCTGTGCAGACCCAAACTATAATTATTTTACACAAACAACAGGGAGTTCAAAAGCCAAGGTCCCCCTCCACAACTTGGTCCAATGAGAAGTTCATGATATTAAACTAGTCTGCCTATAAGAAGTTAAAAGCAAGTTTGTTCAAAAATATGTAATTTTATGCTTGAGTTCTAAGTCATCTAAGATGTGCAGATTGCTGCCGATTTTTTGTTTAATTTTGAAAGAAATGCCTTAAAAACTTGGAAGTACTAAGCTTGAATACTGAAGATTTTCATTTTAGTAGCAGAGCAGGATAGAAGCAGAAGTCTGGGAAGTTTAAATCTATTTCCTTTTCCTTCATCCTCCTGGAGAGCTAGATGCGCTGGCTAGCTCCTCCGTCTCGCGGGTGGCGCCTCTTCTTTGCTGTGGCCCTGCCACCAGGTGAAGGCTGCCGGGTGGGAGAACACACACTTTGTGCGGCCAGCTGACCTTCAGAGAGCGGGGAGGGGCGGGGTGGAGAAAAAATTTAAAGGATTTTTTTCGAAAAGGAGGCCTTGAGACTCCAAGAGAAAGAAGGAAAAGGGGCCGGAAGAAGCCTGAGCCTCCCAGGAGACAGAACTGAGTTCATGAACAGGCGCGATTATCCAAGGTAATTATGTAAAAGAGAAGGCCAGGAGTTCTAAATGGCTGCTACTTGGAGTTTACTCTGCCTGAGGTGAGTGTTTGTGTTTCCGTGATTTTGTTTCTCTGGCAAGGCCCCCCCACCCCCTTTTCCTTTCCGTCTTCACCCGCTGTAATTTGGAAAAGCAGCTCTCTCTGCCGACCAGACCCCAATGCTCACCCTGCTTTCTTTTAGATTGCCAGCCCCCCTCAGATGAGCCTCCGCCTCACCCGTCCCTGGGACCCTCGCTCTTCCCTCTAGTAAGGAACAGCTGTCTGCACACCCCCCATACCCCGCCGCAGCCTCCCAAGCTTATTTCGCTAATATTGCTGTGGTGCCGCTGTCGCTGTCCAAAGAACACACCTTCCCCGCCAGCCGCGATTTCACGTCTGGCCCCGGCGGCTGGGGGAAGCAGTGGGAACTCTGCGCTCTCCAAACAGAGCCGCTCTGCTGTGCAGCTCCCCTGGCTTTTCCCTGGACAAACGATCCCGCCTCAGTCCACCCTGCTTCTTCCTGATCGCTAGTTTTGTTTATGGAGCAAACCGAGGCATTGGGCAGCCTGCGGCGGCACGGCTCCCCTTTGGTTTGGGTGGCAGAGGGTAGCGTTCACGGCTCTCTTGTGTACCATAGACTGTTAGTCCAGGTCTGAAAGATCTGGAGGCACACGCTGAGGGTGACAGGAGGGTGCCCCCTCCCCCTGGGCGGGTGGGGGTGGGAGAGGAGAAGGGACTCAGCTTGGGGAAGGAGGCTGGGAAGCGGCTGCAGTGTTGCGAGGGGTGCGTGCTCCTGTGCCAAGCTTGCCACCGCCGCTCGGCTCAGTCCGCGCTCCAGGGCGCATGGGGCAGAGAGGCTCAAGGGTCCGG